TCCCATCCATCCCTGATTAATCCCAGCACCAGACTGGGGATCAGGTGGCTCAAGTCTGCCCGGGTAGTGAGGGCAGGTAGAGGGAGGTATGCTTCCACCTTCCAGGTTCCTGAGGTAGTCAGGCTGGCTGTCCTCTCCCTAGCCCAAGTTCCCCTCTCTGCCCTGACTCCTTTAGAGAGAACCTCAAAGATGGTCTAGGCAGCACTGCCATAGGCCAGAACATTCACACACATCCTTTCCCCCCTTACTCCTACATTAGGAGGTGGTTCTTTGAAGTCCCTGGGTTCCAAGTCACTGAGCAAGTGACGAAAGGTAGGTGTATATTTCAGAGACAAAGGGGCACACTATTTGACACCAGGGCTCTGTCACCTATGAACTCATGCTTTAATGTTTTTATCCCCATGTGGCAAATGAAGACCCAGAGCAAGGGACTTGTCCAGGATGATGACACCTGATTAGTGGCAGGGCCATTGCAGCCCAGGGCTTGGCCCCTAGAGTGAGGGCCATGACGGGTCACCAAAAAATGGGATCTGGGCCACAGCCCTATGGAGGCTTGCCTGTGGCCACTGCCCAACACTCCCATTCATTAGAACTCCCCACCACACCTCCAGTCCCCAAGGTGAATTTGGGCAAGGCACCGGGGTGGTTCCCACTGCAGTCCCCTCTCCTTAGCTGGGCCAAGTGGGGAAATGTCAGCATCAACAGCAATGACAGCCCCAAGCATGGTCACCTGCATTTCTGATCAGGCCTTCACAGGCCCACAGTCAGTCAAGACAAGAACTCAGAGCTTCCAGCTCCTGGATCCTGCCTCATTTAATTCTCACAAGAATGCTTATGAGATAGAAATCATTCTTGGTCCCATTTCACAGAGGAGACATAGAGTATTTAATAAATGCTGCATAAGTGGTAGCTATGATTTATCAAGACACTTATGAAGTGCCCGGAAGAGAGCCAGATTTTCCTGCCACTCATCCTGGTTCCTGCAGACAAGTGGATCCTAAAACAAAATAAGCCCTGGACATCATTTGTCCAGACGACACTCTGAGATGAGATGATGACCCCACACCCTGGCCCGGGCAGCAGGAACCTTTCCCACTCAAAGCCTGGCCCATCCTCTTGATCTGCTACCCCTGGTCCCTTAGCTCATCCCATCTACCTGCCAGTANTCTGTATGTATATATACAGAGGGATCTCTACACTATTTTGTAACCTGTAGACAAATATTTTGAATGTCTTTCTTTGTCTATAACTACGTTTATACCACATAATTTTAATGACAGCTGAATTCCATTATATATGGGCATGCAAGAATTAGTTTAACAAGTTTTCTTCGTTGTGGATTTTTTCCCAGTAATAAAAGCTTAGTGATCAGACTTTTAACATCCACCTTGTGCGTGTGCTTGATTAGGATAAATTCCTAGTAATGAGAGACTGGGAATGAGAGACATATTTTTAGTTTGAAGGAGCCACCAGCCCAGGCCTCTAGGCGGTGCTCTCACATCTCCTCCAGGCAGCCCTCCCTGACTGGCCTTCCAGGGCCCAGTGCATCTCCCAAGGCCCACACCTTTCCCAGTAGCTTCATCCCTTAGCAACCTGTCCTGGAAGCCCTAAAAAATGCTCAGAAAACCTGGCTGGTGAAGGCCAGGAGGGGCCTGGGGGGTGAGCACAAAGCAGGCTTGTGTGGGGCATGGAAAGAGGCCCCGCCCCTGGGGTCTGCTCGCAGAACATTCCTCCCAGGACAATGGCTGCCTCGGAATCCCGAGAATGAAGGAGGTCCGGAGACTTCCCGAGTCCACCCACTTCCACCCCCCACCAAGTTGTACCCGTCCCAAAATGGAAAGAAGGGGCACTTGCTTTAGGGGCGGGGTGGAGAGGAACAGTGCATCCAAGCCTACAGCCCCCCCACCACCTGCCCCTCCTTTTACCAACTCTAATCCACAACAGGGCTCCTGAGTCCTGCCCAGGCATCCCTTCCCTGTGGATCTTGGGCAGAGTCCTGCTCTCTCTGTAGGCCTCTGCTTCTTCAACTGTAAAATCAGGGGCTTGGAGTCAGTGGTTGCTAAGTCCCCCACAGATCCAAAATGCCCTAATGTGGTGGTGGTGAAGAGGTGCACAAGCTTCAGAGCCAGACTGCCTGAGTTCAAATCCAGGTCTGCCCTTTACCCTGTGATTTTAACACCCCCACCTCAGCTTTCCTGTCTGTAAAGTAGATTGAAGATAGATGCCCATCCCTCAAGGGGCTGTCCTGAGGAAGGATGAGAAGATACTCATGAGACAACTGGTTGATTCCTCAAAGTGTGTGAATGGTAGTCCTTGAATGGCGATTCACACTTAATTCTGACGGTAGCTAGATCCCCAACGCAAGTCCTCTCTCATGCCCACTCTAGATTTTGGCCCCTGGACATTTGCCCAACAATTGGCCATACCTCTGGGAGATGAGGGGCAACTGATACCCCAAGGAAGCCGCCTTCTTGCATGATTCCACATCTTCTTGGATGAGCCATAAAGCCATACAGCTGTAGAACTATAAAGGTTTTTGGGTGGCAAATAAAATTGAAAATACAGGAAAACTCCTGCGTCAGATCACATGTCTTCATTTTTGTTTGGGAAATGCAGGTGTTTTCAATACAGCCAGCAATTGGTGACATAGGATTCCAGGCCCTTAATAACTCACTGGAGGATTAGGACTAACACACCAACAGTGAATAGTGTGGGTTTCCTATCAATATTTTTGAGCTGTTTGCCGCACTCCCTTGCCGAACCACCTCCCTCTCTCCCACATACACCTGTTCTCTCCTTCTCTTTTCTCACCTCCTCCTCAACTCTAATATACTCCCAGATTAAAATCCTCTGCTGCAAGTACCAGAAAACTCACCTCACAATGGCTTGTACAATGAGAACAACGCATATCATATTTCATCCAAGTTAGATGCCACAGATGTTAACAAGCACTGCTACGTTATGTACCATCAGAAAGAAAAAAACTGCCTATTAAGTTGACACAAGGATTTCTTATCACTTAGAATTTTTATTTATTTAAAAAGTTCTCTTAGACCTACATGGATATATTGGGTTGTTGGAAAAGTCATGATGTATTTTGTCTATGTTTTTCANGCGATAATACATGGCTTCTACAGACGGCCCTCCATTCTTCCTAGCTCTTTTGCTTGTGTCACATCCATGGTGGAGAATCCCACGCCGCTCCCAGGGGAGGCAGGTGCTGTGCTTGGGTATGGGGCACGTGTATATATGCTGGGCTGTGTGAGTGCATGATCTTCCTGGTTCAGAGACTTGGAACAAGGTATTTCTGAAAACATCAAGAAAAATAACTCAGCCGGCCCAGAGAGAATCCGCATTAAGGGTTTTGAAGGGAGAGGGGAGAGTTAGAGGGAAGATGTGGAGAAGCCAGGGAGGGAGGAGCAGGTGAGGTAAGAAGGAAGGAAAGACAAGGGCCTAGGGGAAGGATAAGGTGAGGGGGGAGGAAGGGAGAAAGAAGTGGAAGAGAGGAAGAGGAAAGGGCGGGGAGAGCTGTCTTTGTGGTTTTCTGGATTGGCCACTCAGGACTCATTAAGAAGCAGGAAAGGAAGGAAATGTGTCCCGGTTGGGATACTGCGATGCACGCCCAGAAGACACCACACCCAGCTGGCTGCTGTGTCCTCCACTTTCACTAGGCTCAGGCTGCTCCCCACAAATGGAAGCCCTAGCCTTCCTCTTTCTGGCTGTTTGGACTTCCAGTTCCCCATGCCTCCAAAACCCCGCTTATCTGCTCACTCTTACTGTTTGTGTGCTTATTCCAGCTTTGCCTTCCCAGGGTGCTACGGGCTGTTTCTGGGTCCAATCCTCACCCCACAGCCAGCCTACAGGCTCTTAAGAGCCTCCAGAAGAATTAGAAAAAGTGTGCCTGGACAGACACAGCTCTGTGCCAGATCACACAAGGCTTGGGAGGAGGATCTGGAGCTGGCTATCAGTCTTCTTCTCTCCCCCAGGGACCCGACACTCAGGACCCTGGTATGCACTTCGAAAATCCTCATTCTACATCTGGCTCTGCCGTTTGATCTGGGAGCAGAAGCACAGCCACCCTACCCCCATCTTGTAGCACAGCCTTGGGGCCAGCACCCCAACCTGATCTGTCATCATGTACCTTTATCATACAGCCCGACAGCACCCACACCATTTTAATACCTCAAGGCCTCTCTCCCTGGAGTGTCATTTCCCCATTCTGCCTGGGGAGCTCCTATCCATCCTTCAGAACCCAACTTATATGCTCTCTTCTGTAAAGCCTTCCCTCGCTATCCCCTACCCCCACCAGAGCTGGTAGCTCCTACCCCAGAGCTCTCCGAATCCTTTTTCCTAATTTCCAGGTGTTGAGCTTCCTAGAGGAACCCTTCTCTCCCTATACTCTATCCAAAGACAGAAGGCTCCACCCATGCCTGCCTGGCTCACTCTCATATGTGCCAGCTCCTCTGGAAACCCACTGGGCTTCTCCCTTATAGACCCAGGGCAGAATGGGGAACTGGAAATCCAAGTGACCCAGAGGTCTCCCCACCCCCACACTGCCCTCACTGGGGCTCTGCCTGACAAGATTCCCAGCACATCTGGTTGTACTTAAATCATCCAGCGCCCAACTGCCCAGGCATGTTCCCTGCTTTTCTCCCCCTTGCCCTGGCCTCCTCCCCTTCCTAAACTAGCCTCCCAGCCCTCTCCTCCAGGATGACTTCCCCGATTGGCCCAGCCTCTGTATCCACAGCCCACCCTTGAACCTGATCCTCTTTGGGTCTGGGGTCTAGAAGGGTGTGTGCTCAGCATGGCTCAGTGTGTGGAACTCCATCCTTCAAAGCATTGGTCCTGGATNGGGGGAAAAAGAGCAAATGACCCTTGGTGTGTGGAGAGTGTCCTTGCGCCATTCTCAGGCCCGCCCCCTCGGCCTGGCCGACGGGGCGGGGAGTTGGGGTGGGGGTGGAGGCCGGGCCCGCCCGTCAGGGTGGGGGTGCTGTCCGCCGATGAGGGAGGAGGCCGAGATTGAGCGGCGGGCCCGCCGAGCGTGTCCGCTGGGTGTGAGCGGCTTCCTGGGTCGAAGGGCAAAGGGGAAAGCTGCCGGGCCGGCCCGCCCCGTCCACCAGCGGCCCAGACCCTCTATCCCAGGACTGCCTCTATCCCTGGGTCAAAGCCTTGATTTCTCACGCTTTCGTCCCCCCTTCCCCGCCCCCAGGTGAACTGAGCTCCTACAGCGTCCCAGACTCGGGTGGGCCAGCCCGGGATGCAGAGGGCTGGACACGCACAGCCGGGCAAGTCCACCGCTCTGCACAGCGCGACTCCGAGTGCGAGGGTGGGTTGGTGCAGGGGTGGAGGGAGAGCCCTGGACGTGGGCCGCAGAGGGTAGGGTGTGACTTCTAAGCAGTGGGCTTCACTGGAGGGCTTCGCCCAAGAAGGCCGCATTCCCTCTGGGCCAGGCGGGCTGAATGGTGGAAGGCGAAGATGGAGGATGAATCCCAGACTTGTGGTGTTCTAGAGGTGTCCAGAGGTGTTTGTTGATGGGCGTATTCATTCAGCAAATACCTGCTGAACGTCCACCCTGTGCCAAGCGTTGGACTAGGCGCTGGGATATTCAAGAGGGTCCCAAAGGCACATCTCTGTTCTCTTGGAGCTCCCAGTCCAAGAGTAGACACAATTCTATCAGACACACAGACAAAACGCTTCAGCTTCAAAGGCGATCCAGCCCGGAAAGGAAGCCTGCAGAGTGAGGGACCCATAGTGGAACCCGCTTTGCCTCTCAGAAGGTTATAGGAGATGGGGTGGTGCTGTGCTTAGGTTGGGGGGGTCCAGATACATTTCCTGAAGGACATGTTGAGCACCCAGAGGGTCCCAAGACCATCTATGTTCCCACCCAAGGGCAGTGCTTGAGGGTCCTCTCTTCTGAGGTGATTCTTTTTTTCCTTTTGTGTACTGTTCGGCCTAAGTACCAGTAGGACAAGGTTGCCCCTGGGCCCCTCACCACCAGCCTGCAGGGCAGCACTCTGTTCTCTGTGTTTTGCAGAATTCTAAACACTTCCCTTCCCTTCTCATGATTGTTCCCCTGGGGGCTCTAGGTTCTGGCCTCCTTAGGGCGCCCCCGTAGGTACCACTCAGGGAAAGGGAAGCAGGAGGCCCTCAACAGCTCCCATGCTTTTCCCCACGCACATATGGAACAAGACCAGTGCTTAAGCAGGTTCCGGAATAAACCAACGTCAGGATCTTCTCCACCCCCAGAACCTTCTCTTCTCCTCCACTCCACACCTCCAGGACCACACCCTGGCACAGGGGAGGGATGTATCAAGGCTCAGAATACTAGTGCAGCCCATGGCTTCAGAATTAGAAAGGCAGGAGGAAGCAGGCCACAGCCACCACCCTAGGAGAGCTGAACCCCTTGATGAAGGGACCATCCCAAAGGGTAACAGGGATAGAAGGACCTCACTGAGTATTTCTTACTGATGGGGCATCTGAGGCCCAGAGAGAAGTGACATGCTTTGGGTCACACTGCAGAGCTGGATCTAGAATCCACTATGCTCTTTCCACCCCACTTGTGAGACACCCCCCCACCCTACACCAAGGGTTAGAGGCAGGAATTAAGGGAGAAGCCAATGTCTACATGAGCTGAGTGACCTCAACCAGCAGGACTAGTGCCAGGAGATCAAGCCTGGCATTGCCAGGGCATTGCGGCTGGCTGTCACTGGGGCCATGCTCAAGGATGAGGTGGATGACAGGAGTGAAGATGGTGGGAGGAACTGATAATGCGCTCCCCTGAAGCAGCGGTCCAGTTCTCCATCCCCCGGGATCCCTGGAGAAAAAAATGCTCTTTCAGTGCGAGAAGGAAGGACAAGGTTAGACCTCAGGAAGNAAAAAAAAAAAAAAAAAAAAAAAAAAAAGAGAGAATGCAGGGAGCTCAGCACAGTGCCCTGCACATAGTAAGGACTCCATACGGCTTCTGTGTTACCTGACCTGGCCATGGTGAGAATTACCTGGGCCCAAACCATGCAAAGGTACAGGGAGAGGAGGAAGTAGAATTCAGAAACCTGCAGGAAGCAGATCGAGGAACTGTAAATGATGGATGACACCAAGGATTTGGGCTTGGGTGACAATGTGGATGGGATTACTTCTCAGGCTTTTGGCAAAGGGTTCCTGCAGTATCTATTTTTATCACCAGGTAGTTGCTGATAGAGGGAGATAAGATACATGGAAAGAGGAGCAGATTTGGGGAGTAAAAAAAAAAAAGAAGATAAGTTGAGTTTGAGGTGCGTGTGAGCAGTGTGGAGTGGTAGACAAGAGTAAGGACTCTGCCACCAATTAGCTATGTGATCTTGGGCAAGTTAACCACCTCTCTCGGAGCCTCAGTGTCCTCATCTATAAAATGGGGTTTCTAAGAGCACTTACCTCATTAGTTGCTATAAAGACTGGATGAAACAATACATTCAAAGTGCTTAGCATAGTGCCTGGCACATAGTAGGTGCCCATTAAATAGTGATAATAACTGTCATCATCCCTCACACCCTGCCTGCCTCGTCCGCCTAGGCAGGCAGCCTCAGGCTGGGATACTGCCGCTACAGTACCAACTATAGCTGACATGGATGGGGTTTCTTGAGCTCATACTTTGCCTTCTCCTTCCTCAAACAGGATGTGCCCCTGCACAGGATTTCCTCTCCTTTTCCTTTTCTTTGACCTGTCCCTCCCTTCCTTTCAGTCTCTACTCTTCCCTCCCTCTTCCAGGAAGCCATTCTTGACTAATGCCTCCCCCTTCCCTGCCAACCTCTCCTCAAGCCTCCCTATAGGAACTGGTCTCCCAGCCCAGCGCTCTAGCTACTCTCTTCCATTGCCTATCTCTCAGTAAGGACCACTCCATCTCCGATAAGGCCTGGCCCCATGGGGACGCTTGCCCAGTAAGGGAAGGATGCCCCCTCTCCATCACATCCCAGGATGAGGGCTCAGAAAGGGGTGGGGGCTGGTGAGGAGACCACCTGCCAGAATGGCAGCAGACAGGCCAGCTAAATCCTTGACCTATGATTTAAGGGGTCGGGCATAGTTCAATAGAGCACTCCAGGCTGAGTCTGAGCTCATTCACACAGGTCAGGGGGATGAGCAGCAGGGAGGGGAGGTGGACCACCTCCCCCAAGAGCTCTGAGGCATAATCCAACACCCTGAAAAACCACAAGCTCCATCTGCATCAGTGCAGAGCCCCCCTCTGAGAGGTGGAGGAGAAGGTGGGAGTGAGAAGGGGAGGTGGATCAGGGATCCGGTACGTGGGAGACCCATGGAATCACAGTACCTGACAGTATGGGCTCAATAAGGCTCCTGTTTGTATTCATCACAGGGCCCTTTGCTATGTATGTCCTGAGACCCTGCAGCTTTGCCCAGAGTTCCCGGGTCAGCCCTAGCCTCTGTTCCCTCCTCTTCCTCTGGAATTTTCCTCCCAACTGGGTCTACTAGGATTTGGGAGCGGCCCCTTAAAGAATAGGAGTGTCCGATGGAATACTCAGTGCCAAATGTAGAGAGATTTTCCAAGCCATAAATGCCAGTAAGGTCCCCCAGGAGGGCCAAGCCTGGGTGCAGCTCTCAGCCAGAGGCCTGCCTCCACCCACTCCGGGACTCCCCACAGGCCTTAGCCCAGGTTTGGCCCCCGGTAATACTATGCAAATGAGATGCAAAACAAGCAGAGACAGCTGTAGAGATTGGCTAATGAGGGAGAGACTAGGTCCACCCAATCCAGGGCCTCCCAACAGCCTGGGCTCCCCGCGCCCCCCCTCACCCAGCCTGGTCCCGCCCATAAATCAGTTCGGTCAGCGTTAATGGCTCTTGACTAATTGCCTGGACTCCGGCTGCAGGCTCGGGTCGCCTGCATTAAAATTCAATCAGGCCCAGCGCTGAGCTATTAAATATTCATTGGGAGAGCTTCCTGAAACCAGGTTGGGGGATGGGGATGGATTGGGTTGAAGAAACGACCTGAATCCCCAGAATCCCCAGCTTCAGAGGAGGCCTCCCCACCTCCCTCTCCCACCTCCTACAACTGCCTGATTTCCATCCCTTTGGGCCTGATTCTCTTTGGAAATCCCTAGCTCTCTGTAGAGACTTCTGGGAGATTGAGCTGCCCCGGAGAAGGAGTGGGTGTTCAATTATGCCAAGGGACTGCCTTAGTCATCTGCCCTGTATCCCGACCGTGTCTGGTCACCTCACCCCATGGACCCCTTAACCAAGTGGCCACTGTGGGCCCCTATCAATGCTGGAACCATAGGTTCCACCAAGAGAGGAATAGCTCCAAGGCACAGATGACTTTATCCTCAGCAGAGGCAGGAGAGGCCCTTAGGTCCCTGACCCTGCTGCCTTTGCCAGGGGCTTTCTTGGCATTCATTGGCCATCTTTAGCATGGCTAGAGAGAGCTTCAGCCTGGGCAGCATGGGGTCTGTGCTAGAAGAGAGAAGGGGGCTCTGTGCATTCCTCCTCTTCTCTCCCCTTCCCCCAGGAATGCAGCCTGTCCAAGCTCCTGGGCCCCTGGCCTGATGCTGAGCAGGCTGCCTGGAAGTCCTCAAGGAGGGTACCCACAGGGAGAGGGCTGGGCCTGCAGGGGGGGGGGGCATCGGAGTGTCCAGGACTTAAACAGGAAATGCATCCCCCCACCACACACACATACATACACAACATAGTTGGAGGGGGTTTAGTTGGTGTGATGACAGCCATGGCCCAAAGGCTAGAGTGAACCCCTCAAATAAGACGGGGAGTTTTTCTAGGGCCTCCATGTTGTATTGAGACATCTTGTGACACAGCTCTGGTCCCTGGGCTAGGAGGTGTTCGAGCTGGAGGAAAGAGAAAACACCAGAAAATTTCAAGGAGAGACCTGTTTCCCTCCCCAGTTTTTACAGCAAATCGTCAGGAGCAAACCACCTGCGCACAGCCGTTGGGAGTGCTCCCTGCTCTGGTGCCTGAGGTCTTGCAGGAAATGAACCCTGTGGGGTATGGGGGAAGCTAAGACTGCCAGAACCACGGAGTGCCTGCCCTACAGATGCTGCAGCACAGGAAGGATGAAGGCAGAGGGCACCAGTTTCTACAAGGCCAGAAGCAGCTCAGGGCTGCAAGAGGAGTGTGAAGATCAGGGGAGGCTGTTTGGGGGGATACTGGAAAGGACTTTCTTATTCCACTATTCTGAGATCATCAACCCTTGACCCAGCATGAAGCCTAAAATTCTTGCCTGAGAACCAAATGTAGATGCTCTCCCAGCAGAAAATGGGGACCCCACGAGAAGCACTGCCTCTCCAGGACTCAGGAGGGCCCCAGAGCTGGGCGCAGGACAGAATGTGTCTGGCA